TATAATAATTATTTTGATTTCAATTATAAGTAATATCACTGTAAATTAGTGAAACCTTATTGAAAGAGTTAATTAATGGTAGCAGCTGTTTCATCAATAATATTTTGAAATACGTCTTATAATATTATATATAAAATATTGTAAATATTGCAATAAATTTTGTTAAAAAGGAATGTCTAACTTTTTAAATCAAAAATCTTGTTCATTTTGTTATCTCATCTTAAAAGTAAAATGATATAATATGTATATAATTCAGAATTTTATAATTATATATTCATTCTTCATGGTGTGTATGTGTGTATACATATTTTTATAACCAGTTGTTTCTTTATTCCACAGACATAAATGTTACTATAACGTAAACGAGACATATTCGATTGCAAATCTAGTATGTGATATTTAATTAAAATGCATAAATAAATATATATGCATACAATTCTTCGATTATGCGTGTGTATGTGTGAAGACTTCTAAAAAATATCTTGCAAATATGTACAATTATTATTGAGTTTTCAATGAAATCTTATTCTCATCATCAGTGAAGTATAAAACGGAGGAGCAAACTGTAACTGCTTTCACTTAAAATGAAAAACTTATTAATCTTTGATGTGTCACTGCTTTAACAGTACTATTTTTACTAATTTAGTTTAAAAGATTCTAAAGATGATCAATCCCAAAATTAATTTTAATATACATTATTCATTTAATTAAACTTTAGATATAATCAAACTATTCTTATAATATTCGTTCTCCACATTTATTTGCCTAATGAACAAATTTTCTGGGACACAATTTCGACTAATCCCTAACATATCCCGAAGACCAATCTTCAGAGAACATCCTGAGGCTGTTCGAATGTCCTCTGGATATCCTCTGAAGATCCTCTAAACGTCTTTCGAATATGTTGTGCTATTAGAAATATCAATATCATTACATGGCTATTGTAACTTGCCGAAGATAATGATCCCAACATTAATGCCAATCTCCCATGTATCGATTCTCAATACTGTAGCTGAATTGTGATCAACGTTTACGTGTTTCACGGGATCCCGATCAAGCCTCGAGGATCAGGCGCGGGCGATTTCTCTCACCTCCGTGTCGGATCGGATAATTTCGGTTAAGTGGCTCTCGGGAAACGATCGCATCGACTGCGGCGGCGTTCCGTTAAACGACGCTTCCTTCCGTCTCCTCTCCAACTGCTCGTCGTTTCGCGCTGCTCGTCCCGCGGCATCGATCCTCATCTCACTTCGTCCGCCAAGGAGCGAGAGCAACGTGGTAAGAACAAACGCGCCGTAATGACGAAGCTTTGTCGAATTAGAGCCTTCCTTCCCAGCCATTTCGCGCTCTTCCCTTTCTGCCCAAACCACCCTCGCTTACGGCGACGATGGGAGTGTTTGAGTTTGTATTGCGTGTGTATGTGTTTGTTTGTATTTGTTTCCGCGTGTGTATGCGGTGTCTTCTTCGTCTAGATAATCGTGTGTTAGAGAATTCCCTTTTCAACCCCCCATTCTCTCCACACACCCTAGCCGTGTATGTATCTACCGGCAGACATAATTAACAATTAGTTCCCCTCTTATAAGTCGGGCGTTCCCTTGACATGCGGCGCGCGTCTTACCGTAAATTGCGTTTGCTTCCTCCTTACACACTCGCGTTGCCGCGGCATTATTATTCGTAACGAGGAAAATTAAGGATCGCGATCAAATGATTGGTAAAAGTATCTACGTCTCCCCGCGGTAAGTAGAAACTCGTTCAATTCGAGAAGTCATATATAAATGCAATAACTACGGAGACATTCGCCTATGTCAATTCGGTGGTATCCTGATTTTAATCACATAATATTTTCAGCACAGAATGATCCGTTTGTAGTTAGAATAAGTTTGTTTCTAATCAAAGGCACATATGTAGCATTTAGAAAAAAATTATGATAAATATGGCATTTTGAAGAAATAACTATTACCCCCAAAAAACGCTATATCTTAATTCATAATTATTTATAATGATATTCTTTTCATTTACAGTTTCATCGTTTAAAAGTTATAATATATTTGTAGTTGTCAAAAACATATCGCTAATCTTACATTGTTTTCTAAAATTGTTTGCAATTACAGTAATTCTCCCTTCATTTAAACTGTTTAAAAATTATAGTATATCTGCAATTTATATGGAAAACGTAATTAAAAATAAGAGAAAAATTATTGAAGACAATTAATGTAAGCAGATTTAGAATATTTGTTAAGTCAACAAAGTTATATTTTTAAAATTAATTTGTTAAGTTATTGTTAACATATTCTATAACTTTGAAAAATTTAACTATATAAGCAAAATAATAAAGTTATTTCAAATCATATACAATTTTATAAAATATGACAAACAGACTGCTTAATCTGTTTTTATGTTAAACCCAGACTAGGGAATGTGTGCGATAGAAAGGGGTCTCATCTGTAAGTGTAAATAAAGAACCGGCAAACTTGTATGCGCATGTTTGAGGTGGAGATGCTTGCAGCGGAATTCATTTGTTCGGTGAAGCAAAGCTCAGCGAATCTCACACGAGTGCGGAAAAACGAGATGCGGAAATCGCGCATGGGAAAATAGTTTTTGAATGAAAATCGGTTGTTTACGATTCGGGGAAATGTATTTCATTCGATAGATATCCTTGCCTTTTGCTGTGTGTGTGTGTAACGATACCGTGTGTGTAACACAATGGTATATGTATATAAGCAGATAAAAAATATTTCAATAATCTTTAGAAAAATATTTAAAATAATTATGGTTAAAACATATTATGTTATGTTATTATGAGGTAGTAAAGCAGTTTAATAAATATCGTATCGAAAACATTTATATTTTTCATATTATTTCGAAGAAATTAAATATGAAGTCAAATTTATTCAAAGCTGATGTTTATGTTACTTTAAAGAGAGCCGTCCAGAAGCACTATAAAAATAGCCCTATATTTATGAATTTTTTTTCAGAAAGTATTAGGATTATTATAATAAGATTTCATCAGTCTATTATATGTATATTTAGTAATATTTTAAGGCAAAATTTTTATTGAAAAATATTAAAAATATAATATTTCTGCTGACATCAGATGCGATTGCGTTTTGCGGTATCCAATGTAATCTATATATGATTCATATACAATAAAAAAACTCAATTAATTCTTAAAATATACAGATAAATTTAGCCTTTATTGGGGAATTTTTTATAAATTTTAGTTTTTTAACAGCCAAAAAATTGTTAAAAAATTGGTTCTTATATTCATATAAACGCCAGTTTATCAATTGCAAATTTTTAAAATTTGCTATGATAAAACTAAAGTTATCTGTATATTTAAAAATTAATCGAGTATTTTGTCAGGAGTAATATTTACTATATTTTTAATATTTTTCAATAAAAAATTTGTTTTACTAAATAAATACATACTAGACTAGTAAAACTTCAATTTTATAATTCTAATACTTTTTGAGGAAAAATTCATGAATACATAGCTATTTTTTCATGCTTTTGTATGTACCTATATTCCTCATTCAAAAAATTATATTTAAATAAAGACATTTCTAATAACAATGTCACAATAATACTTGTTTTTTTTATTCTGTAATAAACGTATTAATAACGTATTAACTATAAACGTATTAACGTTAATTGCGATAAAAACTAAAAAAATTCAATAGACTGCGGGAATAAAGATGATGTCACTCAATGAGAATAAAAATTAAGACTGTCTTATATCAATTGACGAAATAAAACTTGATGTACTTTTGTGAAACATGGCACAAGACATTTAGAAACATTTTATTCATTGACAATTTAATAATTCATGACTTTAAAATTCCGTTGATAACAAAAAATGCCGAGTTTACATCGCAAGTTCGCAAATCAATCGTTCTTTCTCTGTTGAAACTTTTTTCGCTACTCTCCTTTGAAAAAAACTTTATTCGCTGATGTACGTCCGACAATATGGATGGTTATTTGTGTATCCAACTCTGGCTTCGAATAAAGTATAGAAAATAGCATTGGTTCCCCACAGAAAGTATTCCGTACCTTTTTACGACTTTGCTTGTATGTAAGTTTAAAAGACCATGTCAGTGTAAAAACAGACATTTTACTAGGCAATACACACACAATCGAAAAATTGTATGCGTATACATATTTATTCATGCATTTTAACGTTAAATATCATAAACATTATCTGAGATGGAATATATTTATACTCGTATTTTATAATAACATTATTTATACAATTAAATCGACTATTTTTTTAGGCCAGTGAACTTACCTTTGTTGGCCACAATCATTCTGGTTACATCTAGGCAGAGATGTAACTTTGATCTCTTTATCAAAGATCTCAATGAAGGAGAGAAATTCCTTCCGTTTCCTAACAATTATATATCATTGCCGGTACATGAGCATAATTTTACACTCGAATACGATCATAAGAAATCATCGTTTGTCATACATCATAGAATTTAATTTTGCTTTAACTAACATAACGCCGAGTCGTCGATCAAAATGATTTAATTGATATATCTCTAATAATAATATAATAATATATAATATTATTTATTTATAATAAAATTTATTAAAACACTCATATTATAAATATTATTTAATTGATCGATAACTTGGATTTATATCAATCAAAGTAAAATATTTTTACATGTCACATTATATAGATGGATGGATGACAAAAAATTAGGATAATCAATGTTTGTTAAAAGAATAAATTATTTTTATGTATAATGCAATTGTTACTATGTAACAATTAATAAAATCACAAGCGCGTGTTCTTTAAATTATATAAATAAGTGAAATCTAAATTCAAATTTTTTATATTTTTATTAATTTATATTTTAATTTATATTTGTATGTGTGTGATGTACTTTAATTATGTATATTAAAAGACATTCATTAAAAGTTTAATCTAAGTAAATAAATAAACTGGATTGATAATGTGATTTATAATCGATATACCAATAACGATATACTCAACTCACCTTAGAGTTGCTTCACTGGTAGCCTCTTCTAGACCTTTTCCTCCTCTCAGACTTAGAGTCGTTAATTAAGTCCGTTGATTAACGCCCGATATTTTTAACGGCACTCTCGCACTCGTATACGCGATACTTTTAACGGCACTTCCGAATTTTGTGTCATCTGTAACATAAAAATATAAAATATAAATTTTAGCAGCATTTAAATTAATTATTATTTAAAAAAATTATTACTGAATGCGCCGAACTTTATATTTGGTACATCGTAATAATAAATAAACTGTATATAAATATAAAATAATTTTATATAAAAAAAACAATTTCTTAAGTAGTTTTTTATAAAAATTTTATATCTCTTATTTATGTATTGTAATATCTCTAATAAGTTTCTCTTATTTAAATTATTTAAATAAATAAATTGTGTATATATGTGTTTCTATATATATGTATATACACACACATGCTCATATTCTATTTGAAGATTATAATAAAAAATAATTTTTATTTTACTATTTTTTTTATAAAGAATAATTAATATTTCAATTATAAAATTCAAATAATTTCAAATAAGTCAAGACACTTAATAATAAATGAATTAATAATATTTCAATTAATATTGCAATTTTATACTTTAAATGATGTATATGTATATATTGCAAGAAAATTTGGAATATAATTATTATTAATTTTATGTCGTGTAGAAAACATTTGAAAAATTAATGTATACATAACAAAATTTATATTAGAATATACGGCATATAATATAATTATAAATATAATTCTTCTTGAATTTTCATATCGTGAATATAAATCATTTAAGGCGGGCATAATAAATGTTGCAAATAAATTTTTCATTTATCTTTTTAGTACGTAAAAAAGAGAGAAAGAGAGATAGAAAAAGATAAATATTAAATAAAAAATATTATCACGAGTACGATACACAAATAACGAAGTTATAGTATACAATGCTGATAATGTAAAATATAAACATATGTACTTACAAATTAATTAATTATAATATGTACATTAAAAGAAAGTTTAATTAATAATTATTAGTATTTGAAATATATAATTCAATTAAGTCAATTCAGGCATTTAATAATAAACAAATAAATAAATAATATTCTAATTATTTTATATATATTATATATAATATGTAAATATAAATAAAATTTATATATATATATATATATATTTATATATATATTTAAATATGTGTAAATAGATATATATATATATATATATATATATATTTCAAATTATTTCTTTCATTCTTATTATATTTATATCTTATATATATATAAAAATAATTATATAATAAGAATATATAATAAGAATAAAAGAAATAATTTGAAAAATATGAAAATCATCAAGAAAAGCTGCTTACGATAAATCAAAAATTTTATTCAAGCATACGTTAACAGTTTATTATATTAATCGCCTTTTCGCGCTTTCCGGTAAGCAACAAGTAGTCGCAAATCTGATTATTTGTTGGCACGTAAATAACGAAAAGCCCGGGAATCTTGTCCGAGAGGAAGAGGTTTGCATGAATTTGGAGGACGACGTGTAACGTCGTCTCAATAGATGGGAATATAAAAGATTATCTCTCTCCTATAAGGCAAGAATCCTCGAGAAGAAATTTGAAAGTAAAATTAATTGTATTTGTATTCTGTGCATAAGAAAAATGTATGTACTATAGCTTTCTAAGATTTCATAGGATAGAAAAAAAGACACAAGTCCACACAGATATTTTCTATAGAATCTAGAGAAATATTTGTGCTTTAAGTAAAATATACTTGAAAATTTCTAACCTTTTTTGCGTCCTTCGTCCTTCGCATTTATCAAAGCAACGCAACAAAAATTTATTTAGAATCAAAGTATGTATATGTACTCACGCACATATATTTTTCAATTTTTCGTGCAAGGAGAAACTGAATCTTCTCAAATATGTCTATGAAGAAGAATATGTGAGAATTTTATGTCGCATTTATCAAACAACAGAAATTTACTTGCAATTAGAGGCGAGCCTGACGAATATATATATTTCTAACGCTCTTTGCATCCTCCGCAAGAATGTGCGAGGATTTCATGTCGCATTTATCAAAGCAACAAATCAAGTATGTACATGTACTCACGCGCAAATTAAATCTCTCGATTCTTCGTGGAATAAAAAACTGATCTTCTCGAATATGCGAGGAAGAAGTGTCCAAAAGGTAGCACAACACACAATTATTTATGCAAGTGGGCAAAAAAGCGCGAAAGTAACTCGCGAATATAACTGCGAGTTTGAAATTGAACGCGTGCGAGGTGGCGCGGCGGCTTGCGGCGACTTGCGGCGGCTCGCGGCGCGCTCAGCCAATCAGCCAAGGCTTTGCGAGCGCGGCGCCGTTCGCTCGCAGTACCGCGGCGATCCTCGAGCTAAGAGCATCGTGTCTAACGTTGTGCCGTCGTCACCCGGCAAAAGGGGGATTCGCGCCGTGCGGACGCGCTTATCGAGTCCAAGTAGTTGTGTGAAACGTGAGAACCTCCTCTCTCTGGGATCGTTCGTGACCAAATTCGTGCGCGTGGAAGGTGGAAGCGTCGCCGTCCTCGTCGTCGCGGCGCTTTCTCGAGAGAGGAACGTAAATCTAAAGCGTAAATTTGCAGTCGAAACGAGAAGTAACTTTGTCTCTCGTCGTCTTACCTTCCTGTTCGCCCTTTTCGCGATCTGCGATGATGTCTGTGTGATATATATATATATATATACGTGTGAAAAGTGTTTTTCCGCGAGTACTCTCTTGCCCATTTCGTCCATCTCCAACTCGGAATCTGAGAAGAATCGCAGACGGTGGAAAGGAGACCTAATCGAAGGTGTGACGGATTGTCGGAAAGGTACGCCAGATTGATTTCTTAATTTTACTCCGCGATTGATTTCTTAATTTTACTCCGCTTACGTTTAAAGTTCTTTAAAGGCGCGTTTCCGAAAAGTCGCCATATTTATTACGAAAAATCGCGCGTAATACAAAACACATCTTTTTTGTTGAACTATATTTTTCAATTTTATAAAAAAACATTTAAAGCACTTAAAAAAAAATACTTTCGGAAACACTACATAGAGAATATTATTAAATATATTTTCCAGAGATTTAAGAGTTTTTCTCTTATAAATATATTATTTCTGATACAAGGGTCTAAGCGATTGCGTGTAGAAATAATTTGCATAGAGGTAATTTGTTTGCGGAAACACTTAAGCGAGTGCCACTCTCTTTTTCGCGAATAAGCTCAAGTCCTTTGACCGGCTATTCATTCAACATCGAGTTAAATAGAAGATTAAAGACATCCTTTTTTACGTGGAATTGAGATCCACGCATCGATAAGTCGCCAACGATTTCTGTAAAACGTGCATACACTTTTTTCGTTTTCTATCAAGTTCATAGAATAGCATTACGCATTCCGTTTTTTTTTTCGTTATCCGATTTATATTATATATCAATCGTATAATAAATGTTCAGTCTCTCTTTCTATCACTCGAAATAGCAAACAAGTTTACCTATAATTATCATTTTCTATAATTGTGATTCTATAAATAAATATTTAATCTTACTATTATATTTACGGTGACTATATTTTCTGAAGATAAATGACAAAATTCCTGACAATTTTTTAACTTTGTTTCAACATGTTTGTTTCAAATAAATTTACGACCAAAGTGGAAATCGATGAGCAAAAAAAAGAAAAATAATTCTATGACTCAGAAGTTTACATACTTTTTATATAATTTAAAATTGATTCGATTATGCTGAAATAAATTTTTGATTTTTTAAATCCTTAGGTTTCAGATAAGAGGTTCCGTTGGTTTCATACAAATTCTCATGTTAATGTTACGACATTAGGCATTAAAACGTTAAATGAAAAAATAAAGGATAAAATTGAGTTTTAGAAAAATAAATAAATCCGAATAAATCTGAAGGAGAGCTATTTGAAATAAAGGATTGCCCTCTAAAATAAAGAACGGATGGTTACCGTAATTATAGTTGCAAGTCACGTGTCATATAAATTTTTCTGTTTTTATTTTATTTATTTCGAGTGATATGTTTCAGAATAAAAAAACATAGATTTTTCATATATGTATATTATGGTACATCCTTTTATGATTCGCTAATTGATAATGTATAATATTTGATACTTGCTGTGCATTTTTTGCTTTGTTACATAGTTTGATTTATATAAAAAATTTAGTTTCTTTCTGCAACTCAAAATATGGAATATATTCATTTACAATAAACAATCTTTTTTATTATAATTCTAAATAAATAGGTCATTTTAAACAGAAATGTGTGAAATACAAGTTTTTTTTTCACTTTATATTTATTCTGAACGTATGTAGTTAATGACAGAAAAGTAAAGATTTTGAATATATGTTTTGTGGTGGCATATATATTATAACTGGTAATGATATTTGATATCTGCCGTCCACATATTTCGTTTTATTTTAGATGGTCTGATTTATATATAACGATCTCAAAAAACTCTTTCTGCAACTGAAAATAGTAAATATATTTGCTCGTGATTAATAATCTTTTTTTATTATAATTCTAAATAAATGTTTAATCTTTTGTTAAACGAAAGCTGTGTGACATACATTTTTATTTTATATGCATTCGGAGTATGTACATACACTTACTGTCACACAAAAGAATAGATGTTCAATGCATGTTATGATATAGCATTTTATGGCTCATTAACTGGTGAGGATGGACATTTGATATCTGCTGTCCGACGAAAGTTTCGCACTGTTGTGTAACCCGAGATGTATTCGAGCGAGTTAAGGTTATTATTACGCAGTAACTATTACGTATTCACGCGATGCACAGCTCCGATTTTGGCGAGGGGATTCCATTAACTACGATTTGGAATCCTGAATCAGACCTCGCTCCAGCTCCAGCTCCGAGTTTCGTCTCAGATTCCTCAATGGTGGTATTAATTTTCTGAAGTTAATTATTCGTTAAGCTATGTTCATGATGTTACGGCGATATACATGTTATAATAAAATTACAAAAAATAAAATTGATTGGTTTTTACGAAATATAATAGATCATTATAAATATACATAAAAATAACGAAGTTGCGTCGAAAGTTATGAAAAATAAAACTGATCGGTCTTG